CGTTAGCTAATTTACTATTATAATTTAGCTATTCTATAAGTATTATATTTAACTATAGTAATGCCTTAGATCTACACCCCCTAAGTCTGCTAGACAATGTGTTTAATTGCAGCAGGACTAGGGTAACTAAGTTACTTGTGCCACTATATTACTAAGGACTTCTATAGTCCTCTCTTAGTGCGTGTAGTAATTTTATATGTGTAGTTAGTAGCTAGTAGGGATAATTTATATTTAAGCACCTACTAGCAAAGTATTTCTAATACTACTCTAATTACTTAGCTATTAGCTTATTAGAGAGTTATTAGGTCTACTTATATATCCTACTACATGCCTCTATTTTATAGTAGGCAGAAGGACACTAGGTTGCATAGCAGGTCTAGGCAAATTGCTACGTCTGTAAGGGTAACCTTAGTTGTCCTAGCTCTACTCTATAGGTATAGATTAATTAATCTATATCCTCTAACTAGCACCTTAGAATTCCTAGCGTATATAAAGTCTTTTAGTAATAGCTATTAGAACTAATAGATATATTTAGGGTTGTTAGTAATATAATAGGTAGAACCTAAGTTAAGTATAAATAACTTCTATAGTAGAGAGTTATTAGTGTCCTATTAGTTTACTGTGCTAAGTGCTACTTTAATATTAGTAATTTCTTAGCCTTCTAGTTAATTATCTAGGATTTCTAGGGTGGGTGTGTGTAAGTGCTTTATGTAAAGAAAGTAGGGGAAGGACTAGACTACTTTCTTCCTAGTCTAGAAGGACCTAGACAAATCTAGACTAGCTTTGTCTAAATAGGAAGCGTATAGCCTAATAGAGGTAAGGTAGGGTTATGTAATATAATAGAAAAGTTATTATATTAGATACTAGGTAGAGATTCCTAGGCTAGGTACAGAGCAAACAGAGGGGGGAGAGCTAGAGGTATTTATGCTTCTTCTCCTCTGTGTATTTCTAAGCAGAACGTTCTAGACTCCTCTAGGTAGGTCTACTTAGTAATCTATGCTTAGTATTGCTGCATATACAAGCAAGATTACGTAGGTGCATGCGTAATTATATACGTCAGCATCTTACAGAGTAGGCTACTCTATTTGTAAGCAGAGGGTCTAGAACATCTCTAGTTACTAAAAATAGAGAACAGCATATCTTAGGAATAAGAGGAGATACAGGCTTCGTAAGCACACCATTCTAATCCTCTCTTTTAGGAGATTACAATAACAATGCTTAGGTAAGCATAGTGCTATACCTAAGAAGGAAATATGCTAGAGAAAGATTATAAGAACAAAGTCTTATAACTTTACACTTTACTACTAGTGTTCTTAATTAGCTCTTGCTTTCTGTGTAAAGTAGGCCTTAAAAGGTAATATCTTTCTTATAACGTGGTTTATCACCGAGCCGCCAGGTATCACTGAACCGCCACCCCTCGCCAATTTTGCGACTGTTACGATAATTATTACAATGCCATCACAACGCAACGCGCAATCACCCTATAACAAAGGTACACTATACCTTGCTATCTAAGCTACAAAAGCTACTGTGCCTAATAGTATAAATCACACGTCTAAGGCCTTTAGTGTTCCCTAATTAACATTAAGAGACTAACACGCAGGAGGGCTTGCACAACGCAATTATGAGGCTAATTTAAAGAAGCTAACAAAGGTAGAAGAGGAGGTAATAGTTAACTATATACTTGAGCTAGACAGGCAAGGAATAGGCGCAATAAAGACTATAGTGCAAGATATAGCTAATAATCTACTTGCTGCACGTGGTGAAGGACCTGTTAGTAAGCTCTAGGTAAACAGGTTTAACACACGTACCTAACAAATTAAGCTTTAACGTAGCTGACTATATAATTGTTAACAAGCCCTAAATAAAGATACACGCGTTATAACGCCCTAGTTTAAGCTAGTTAGGAATACAAAGGAGAAGTATAGAATCCTAGATAGAGATACCTACAACTTTAATAAGACTAGGTTTATAATAGGCATAATTAGGTCTAAGATAGTGTTTATAGGCTTAGAGAAGCAATCTAACCCTAAGAATATCTAGCCTAGCAATTAGGAGTGGGTCACAATTATTATTAGTGTCTGCGCTGCTGGCTAGGCTATCCTACCCTTTATTATCTTCTAAGGCAAGGTCCTGATTACAACCTAGTACCCTAATCTGCCTTGCAATTAGGTAATTATAACTAGCAAGAACAGCTAGATAATAAACAAGCTTAGTCTAGAGTAGTTAAAGCACTTTAATGTGTCTATAAAAGAGTGTACTATTAGCGCCTACTATCTACTTATTATTAATAGCTATAAGAGCCACAACTCTGCAGAGTTTAAGGAATACTGCGTAGAACACAAGATTATTACCTTATGTATGCCCCTACACTTGTTGCACCTGTTGCAGCTGCTTAACGTGGCCTGTTTTAGCCCCTTAAAGAGGGCGTACTTAATTAAGGTTAACGCCTAGTTATAATACTTAAAGATATAAATTAAGAAAGAGTTCTTCCTTACTAGCTTCTAGACAGCCTATTATAAGGCTATTATAAAAGATAATATCTACAGAGGCTTTAGAGGCGCAGGACTAGTTCCTTTTGACCTAGAGCGAGTGCTATTGAAGCTTGATGTGGTCCTTCGCACGCTAACACCACCACCACCAGAGACTACCCTATAGGAATCTAAAACACTAACCAGCGCAAAGGAGGTTAAGTCACAAACGTTGTATATCTGTGAGCGCATGCGATTGCACAGAGATTCGCCCCTGTCTCCTATTATGAAATCACTTAACTTGCTTGCTAGAGGGGTTGCGCAGATAGACTATGCT